CCCAGAGAGTGATGCTGTGTTTATGGAAAGCATCTCTTCAAAATTGGAGGAGGCTGCGTTTGAAGATCCTGAGTCTAGGTTTGCTGAGATGGTGAGAACGTTGTCTTTATATGTGTTTGTACTTGGTGTAAATGTTACAGCAAATGTTTTTGTGCAGAACATCATCTTTTTTGCTCCTGTGTTTGTAGGGATTGCCAGTTGCAATGTGATCACACCGCCTATTAGGAGATGCCAGTCAGTCCAGTAGTGCATCATGTCTGCTGGACTGACTGGTGCTGTAAGTATATTTCCTGTCAATCTTCCATATTTGACTACTTTTAGTATTGAAGTATTCTTTGTGTAGATGAGAAAAACAAATACAGTCCATTTGATTTTACATGTCTGTCTTTTCTCCCTCTGTTTATCTGTATGTGTGTGTCTGGTCCCACTACACAGATGTGTACAGATGATCCGGACTGGCAACAGGAAACTTTCAGAACTGACACTGAGTGACAAGGTAACACAGTATAGCAATAGCAACGCCAGCACATGTTCAGTACTCAAAATGTAAAGACATGCACCTATTTCCTTATCAAGTAACACTTCTTACTGTTTCTCAGACACAGTCTCAGTCTTTATGTCTAGGCTAAAAACCTACATGTTTAGTCAAACCTTTGATTATTTGGTGAATTTGCTTTGAGAGGTTTTGTTTGCCTCCTTTGACAAGCGTCTGTAACTCTGTCTCCCAGAGAGTGATGCTGTGTTTTCTGGAACGCATCTCTCCAAATTTGGAGGAGGCTACGTATGAAGATCCCGAGTCTAGGTTTGCTGAGATGGTGAGAACGTTGTCTTTATATGTGTTTGTACTTGGTGTAAAAGTTACAGCAAATGTTTTTGTGCAGAACATCATCTTTTTGCCCCTGTGTTTGTAGGGATTGCCAGTTGCAATGTGATCACACCGCCTATTAGGAGATGCCAGTCAGTCCAGTAGTGCATCATGTCTGCTGGACTGACTGGTGGTGTAAGTATATTTTCCTGTCAATCTTCCATATTTGACTACTTTTAGTATTGAAGTATTCTTTGTGTAGATGAGAAAAACAAATACAGTCCATTTGATTTTACATGTCTGTCTTTTCTCCCTCTGTTTATCTGTATGTGTGTGTCTGGTGGAGTCCCACTACACAGATGTGTACAAATGACCCTGAAAGGCAAAAGTAAACTTTCAGAACTGACACTGAGTGAAAAGGTAACACAGTATAGCAATAAGAACACCACAACATGTTCAATATTCAACATGTAAAGACATGCGTCTGTTTCCTTATCAAATAACACTGCTTACTGTTTCTCAGACACAGTCTCAGTCTGTAAGTCTAGGCTGAAAACCTACATGTTTAGTCAAACCTTTGATAATTTGGTGAATTTGCTTTGAGAGGTTTTGTTTGCCTCCTTTAACAAGCGTTTATAACTCTGTCTCCCAGAGAGCGATGCTGTGTTTTCTGGAAAGCATCTCTCCAAATTTGGAGGAGGCTACTTATGAAGATCCTGAGTCTAGGTTTGCTGAGATGGTGAGAACGTTGTCTTTATATGTGTTTGTACTTGGTGTAAATGTTACAGCAAATGTTTTTGTGCAGAACATCATCTTTTTTGCTCCTGTGTTTGTAGGGATTGCCAGTTGCAATGTGATCACACCGCCTATTAGGAGATGCCAGTCAGTCCAGTAGTGCATCATGTCTGCTGGACTGACTGGTGCTGTAAGTATATTTTCCTGTCAATCTTCCATATTTGACTACTTTTAGTATTGAAGTATTCTTTGTGTAGATGAGAAAAACAAATACAGTCCATTTGATTTTACATGTCTGTCTTTTCTCCCTCTGTTTATCTGTATGTGTGTGTCTGGTCCCACTACACAGATGTGTACAGATGATCCGGACTGGCAACAGGAAACTTTCAGAACTGACACTGAGTGACAAGGTAACACAGTATAGCAATAGCAACGCCAGCACATGTTCAGTACTCAAAATGTAAAGACATGCACCTATTTCCTTATCAAGTAACACTTCTTACTGTTTCTCAGACACAGTCTCAGTCTTTATGTCTAGGCTAAAAACCTACATGTTTAGTCAAACCTTTGATTATTTGGTGAATTTGCTTTGAGAGGTTTTGTTTGCCTCCTTTGACAAGCGTCTGTAACTCTGTCTCCCAGAGAGTGATGCTGTGTTTTCTGGAACGCATCTCTCCAAATTTGGAGGAGGCTACGTATGAAGATCCTGAGACTTTGTTTGCTGAGATGGTGAGAACATTGTCTTTATATGTGTTTGTACTTGGTGTAAAAGTTACAGCAAATGTTTTTGTGCAGAACATCATCTTTTTTGCTCCTGTGTTTGTAGGGATTGCCAGTTGCAATGTGATCACACCGCCTATTAGGAGATGCCAGTCAGTCCAGTAGTGCATCATGTCTGCTGGACTGACTGGTGCTGTAAGTATATTTTCCTGTCAATCTTCCATATTTGACTACTTTTAGTATTAAAGTATTCTTTGTGTAGATGAGAAAAACAAATACAGTCCATTTGATTTTACATGACTGTCTTTTCTCCCTCTGTTTATCTGTATGTGTGTGTCTGATGGAGTCCCACTACACAGATGTGTACAGGTGACTCTGACAGGCAACAGGAAACTTTCAGAACTGACACTGAGTGACAAGGTAACACAGTATAGCAATAGCAACGCCAGCACATGTTCAATACTCAAAATGTAAAGACATGCACCTATTTCCTTATCAAGTAACACTTCTTACTGTTTCTCAGACACAGTCTCAGTCTTTATGTCTAGGCTAAAAACCTACATGTTTAGTCAAACCTTTGATTATTTGGTGAATTTGCTTTGAGAGGTTTTGTTTGCCTCCTTTAACAAGCGTCTGTAACTCTGTCTCCCAGAGAGTGATGCTGTGTTTTCTGGAACGCATCTCTCCAAATTTGGAGGAGGCCACGTATGAAGATCCTGAGACTTTGTTTGCTGAGATGGTGAGAACATTGTCTTTATATGTGTTTGTACTTGGTGTAAAAGTTACAGCAAATGTTTTTGTGCAGAACATCATCTTTTTGCCCCTGTGTTTGTAGGGATTGCCAGTTGCCACATGATCACTCCATGTATTAGTAGATGCCAGTCAGTCCAGTAGTGTATCATGTCTGCTGGACTGACTGGTGCTGTAAGTATATTTTCCTGTCAATCTTCCATATTTGACTACTTTCATTATTTAAGTATTCTTTGTGTAGATGAGAAAAACAAATACAGTCCATTTGATTTTACATGTCTGTCTTTTCTCCCTCTGTTTATCTGTATGTGTGTGTCTGGTGGAGTCCCACTACACAGATGTGTACAAATGACCCTGAAAGGCAAAAGTAAACTTTCAGAACTGACACTGAGTGAAAAGGTAACACAGTATAGCAATAAGAACACCACAACATGTTCAATACTCAAAATGTAAAGACATGCACCTATTTCCTTATCAAGTAACACTTCTTACTGTTTCTCAGACACAGTCTCAGTCTTTATGTCTAGGCTAAAAACCTACATGTTTAGTCAAACCTTTGATTATTTGGTGAATTTGCTTTGAGAGGTTTTGTTTGCCTCCTTTGACAAGCGTCTGTAACTCTGTCTCCCAGAGAGTGATGCTGTGTTTTCTGGAACGCATCTCTCCAAATTTGGAGGAGGCCACGTATGAAGATCCTGAGACTTTGTTTGCTGAGATGGTGAGAACATTGTCTTTATATGTGTTTGTACTTCTTGTAAAAGTTACAGCAAATGTTTTTGTGCAGAACATCATCTTTTTGCCCCTGTGTTTGTAGGGATTGCCAGTTGCAATGTGATCACACCGCCTATTAGGAGATGCCAGTCAGTCCAGTAGTGCATCATGTCTGCTGGACTGACTGGTGCTGTAAGTATATTTTCCTGTCAATCTTCCATATTTGACTACTTTTATTACTTAAGTATTCTTTGTGTAGATGAGAAAAACAAATACAGTCCATTTGATTTTACATGTCTGTCTTTTCTCCCTCTGTTTATCTGTATGTGTGTGTCTGGTCCCACTACACAGATGTGTACAGATGATCCGGACTGGCAACAGGAAACTTTCAGAACTGACACTGAGTGACAAGGTAACACAGTATAGCAATAGCAACGCCAGCACATGTTCAGTACTCAAAATGTAAAGACATGCACCTATTTCCTTATCAAGTAACACTTCTTACTGTTTCTCAGACACAGTCTCAGTCTTTATGTCTAGGCTAAAAACCTACATGTTTAGTCAAACCTTTGATTATTTGGTGAATTTGCTTTGAGAGGTTTTGTTTGCCTCCTTTGACAAGCGTCTGTAACTCTGTCTCCCAGAGAGTGATGCTGTGTTTTCTGGAACGCATCTCTCCAAATTTGGAGGAGGCTACGTATGAAGATCCTGAGACTTTGTTTGCTGAGATGGTGAGAACATTGTCTTTATATGTGTTTGTACTTCTTGTAAAAGTTACAGCAAATGTTTTTGTGCAGAACATCATCTTTTTGCCCCTGTGTTTGTAGGGATTGCCAGTTGCAATGTGATCACACCGCCTATTAGGAGATGCCAGTCAGTCCAGTAGTGCATCATGTCTGCTGGACTGACTGGTGCTGTAAGTATATTTTCCTGTCAATCTTCCATATTTGACTACTTTTAGTATTGAAGTATTCTTTGTGTAGATGAGAAAAACAAATACAGTCCATTTGATTTTACATGTCTGTCTTTTCTCCCTCTGTTTATCTGTATGTGTGTGTCTGGTGGAGTCCCACTACACAGATGTGTACAAATGACCCTGAAAGGCAAAAGTAAACTTTCAGAACTGACACTGAGTGAAAAGGTAACACAGTATAGCAATAAGAACACCACAACATGTTCAATACTCAACATGTAAAGACATGCGTCTGTTTCCTTATCAAATAACACTCCTTACTGTTTCTCAGACACAGTCTTACTCTGTAAGTCTAGGCTGAAAACCTACTTGTTTAGCCAAACTTTTGATAATTTGGTGAATTTGCTTTGAGAAGTTTTGTTTGCCTCCTTTAACAAGCGTTTGTAACTCTGTCTCCCAGAGAGTGATGCTGTGCTTTATGGAAAGCATCTCTCCAAAATTGGAGGAGGCTGCGTTTGAAGATCCTGAGTCTAGGTTTGCTGAGATGGTGAGAACGTTGTCTTTATATGTGTTTGTACTTGGTGTAAATGTTACAGCAAATGTTTTTGTGCAGAACATCATCTTTTTTGCTCCTGTGTTTGTAGGGATTGCCAGTTGCAATGTGATCACACCGCCTATTAGGAGATGCCAGTCAGTCCAGTAGTGCATCATGTCTGCTGGACTGACTGGTGCTGTAAGTATATTTTCCTGTCAATCTTCCATATTTGACTACTTTCATTACTTAAGTATTCTTTGTGTAGATGAGAAAAACAAATACAGTCCATTTGATTTTACATGTCTGTCTTTTCTCCCTCTGTTTATCTGTATGTGTGTGTCTGGTCCCACTACACAGATGTGTACAGATGATCCGGACTGGCAACAGGAAACTTTCAGAACTGACACTGAGTGACAAGGTAACACAGTATAGCAATAGCAACGCCAGCACATGTTCAGTACTCAAAATGTAAAGACATGCACCTATTTCCTTATCAAGTAACACTTCTTACTGTTTCTCAGACACAGTCTCAGTCTTTATGTCTAGGCTGAAAACCTACATGTTTAGTCAAACCTTTGATTATTTGGTGAATTTGCTTTGAGAGGTTTTGTTTGCCTCCTTTGACAAGCGTCTGTAACTCTGTCTCCCAGAGAGTGATGCTGTGTTTTCTGGAACGCATCTCTCCAAATTTGGAGGAGGCTACGTATGAAGATCCTGAGTCTAGGTTTGCTGAGATGGTGAGAACATTGTCTTTATATGTGTTTGTACTTCTTGTAAAAGTTACAGCAAATGTTTTTGTGCAGAACATCATCTTTTTGCCCCTGTGTTTGTAGGGATTGCCAGTTGCAATGTGATCACACCGCCTATTAGGAGATGCCAGTCAGTCCAGTAGTGCATCGTGTCTGCTGGACTGACTGGTGGTGTAAGTATATTTTCCTGTCAATCTTCCATATTTGACTACTTTTAGTATTGAAGTATTCTTTGTGTAGATGAGAAAAACAAATACAGTCCATTTGATTTTACATGTCTGTCTTTTCTCCCTCTGTTTATCTGTATGTGTGTGTCTGGTCCCACTACACAGATGTGTACAGATGATCCGGACTGGCAACAGGAAACTTTCAGAACTGACACTGAGTGACAAGGTAACACAGTATAGCAATAGCAACGCCAGCACATGTTCAATACTCAAAATGTAAAGAAATGCACCTATTTCCTTATCAAGTAACACTTCTTACTGTTTCTCAGACACAGTCTCAGTCTTTATGTCTAGGCTGAAAACCTACATGTTTAGTCAAACCTTTGATTATTTGGTGAATTTGCTTTGAGAGGTTTTGTTTGCCTCCTTTGACAAGCGTCTGTAACTCTGTCTCCCAGAGAGTGATGCTGTGTTTTCTGGAACGCATCTCTCCAAATTTGGAGGAGGCTACGTATGAAGATCCCGAGTCTAGGTTTGCTGAGATGGTGAGAACGTTGTCTTTATATGTGTTTGTACTTGGTGTAAAAGTTACAGCAAATGTTTTTGTGCAGAACATCATCTTTTTGCCCCTGTGTTTGTAGGGATTGCCAGTTGCAATGTGATCACACCGCCTATTAGGAGATGCCAGTCAGTCCAGTAGTGCATCATGTCTGCTGGACTGACTGGTGGTGTAAGTATATTTTCCTGTCAATCTTCCATATTTGACTACTTTTAGTATTGAAGTATTCTTTGTGTAGATGAGAAAAACAAATACAGTCCATTTGATTTTACATGTCTGTCTTTTCTCCCTCTGTTTATCTGTATGTGTGTGTCTGGTCCCACTACACAGATGTGTACAGATGATCCGCACTGGCAACAGGAAACTTTCAGAACTGACACTGAGTGACAAGGTAACACAGTATAGCAATAGCAACGCCAGCACATGTTCAATACTCAAAATGTAAAGACATGCACCTATTTCCTTATCAAGTAACACTTCTTACTGTTTCTCAGACACAGTCTCAGTCTTTATGTCTAGGCTAAAAACCTACATGTTTAGTCAAACCTTTGATTATTTGGTGAATTTGCTTTGAGAGGTTTTGTTTGCCTCCTTTGACAAGCGTCTGTAACTCTGTCTCCCAGAGAGTGATGCTGTGTTTTCTGGAACGCATCTCTCCAAATTTGGAGGAGGCTACGTATGAAGATCCTGAGACTTTGTTTGCTGAGATGGTGAGAACATTGTCTTTATATGTGTTTGTACTTGGTGTAAAAGTTACAGCAAATGTTTTTGTGCAGAACATCATCTTTTTGCCCCTGTGTTTGTAGGGATTGCCAGTTGCAATGTGATCACACCGCCTATTAGGAGATGCCAGTCAGTCCAGTAGTGCATCGTGTCTGCTGGACTGACTGGTGGTGTAAGTATATTTTCCTGTCAATCTTCCATATTTGACTACTTTTAGTATTGAAGTATTCTTTGTGTAGATGAGAAAAACAAATACAGTCCATTTGATTTTACATGTCTGTCTTTTCTCCCTCTGTTTATCTGTATGTGTGTGTCTGGTGGAGTCCCACTACACAGATGTGTACAGGTGACTCTGACAGGCAACAGGAAACTTTCAGAACTGACACTGAGTGAAAAGGTAACACAGTATAGCAATAAGAACACCACAACATGTTCAATACTCAACATGTAAAGACATGCGTCTGTTTCCTTATCAAATAACACTCCTTACTGTTTCTCAGACACAGTCTTACTCTGTAAGTCTAGGCTGAAAACCTACTTGTTTAGCCAAACTTTTGATAATTTGGTGAATTTGCTTTGAGAGGTTTTGTTTGCCTCCTTTAACAAGCGTTTGTAACTCTGTCTCCCAGAGAGTGATGCTGTGTTTTCTGGAAAGCATCTCTCCAAAATTGGAGGAGGCTGCGTTTGAAGATCCTGAGTCTAGGTTTGCTGAGATGGTGAGAACGTTGTCTTTATATGTGTTTGTACTTGGTGTAAATGTTACAGCAAATGTTTTTGTGCAGAACATCATCTTTTTTGCTCCTGTGTTTGTAGGGATTGCCAGTTGCAATGTGATCACACCGCCTATTAGGAGATGCCAGTCAGTCCAGTAGTGCATCATGTCTGCTGGACTGACTGGTGCTGTAAGTATATTTTCCTGTCAATCTTCCATATTTGACTACTTTCATTACTTAAGTATTCTTTGTGTAGATGAGAAAAACAAATACAGTCCATTTGATTTTACATGTCTGTCTTTTCTCCCTCTGTTTATCTGTATGTGTGTGTCTGGTCCCACTACACAGATGTGTACAGGTGACTCTGACAGGCAACAGGAAACTTTCAGAACTGACACTGAGTGACAAGGTAACACAGTATAGCAATAGCAACGCCAGCACATGTTCAATACTCAAAATGTAAAGACATGCACCTATTTCCTTATCAAGTAACACTTCTTACTGTTTCTCAGACACAGTCTCAGTCTTTATGTCTAGGCTAAAAACCTACATGTTTAGTCAAACCTTTGATTATTTGGTGAATTTGCTTTGAGAGGTTTTGTTTGCCTCCTTTGACAAGCGTCTGTAACTCTGTCTCCCAGAGAGTGATGCTGTGTTTTCTGGAACGCATCTCTCCAAATTTGGAGGAGGCCACGTATGAAGATCCTGAGACTTTGTTTGCTGAGATGGTGAGAACATTGTCTTTATATGTGTTTGTACTTGGTGTAAAAGTTACAGCAAATGTTTTTGTGCAGAACATCATCTTTTTGCCCCTGTGTTTGTAGGGATTGCCAGTTGCAATGTGATCACACCGCCTATTAGGAGATGCCAGTCAGTCCAGTAGTGCATCGTGTCTGCTGGACTGACTGGTGGTGTAAGTATATTTTCCTGTCAATCTTCCATATTTGACTACTTTTAGTATTGAAGTATTCTTTGTGTAGATGAGAAAAACAAATACAGTCCATTTGATTTTACATGACTGTCTTTTCTCCCTCTGTTTATCTGTATGTGTGTGTCTGATGGAGTCCTACTACACAGATGTGTACAGGTGACTCTGACAGGCAACAGGAAACTTTCAGAACTGACACTGAGTGAAAAGGTAACACAGTATAGCAATAAGAACACCACAACATGTTCAATACTCAACATGTAAAGACATGCGTCTGTTTCCTTATCAAATAACACTCCTTACTGTTTCTCAGACACAGTCTTACTCTGTAAGTCTAGGCTGAAAACCTACTTGTTTAGCCAAACTTTTGATAATTTGGTGAATTTGCTTTGAGAAGTTTTGTTTGCCTCCTTTAACAAGCGTTTGTAACTCTGTCTCCCAGAGAGTGATGCTGTGCTTTATGGAAAGCATCTCTCCAAAATTGGAGGAGGCTGCGTTTGAAGATCCTGAGTCTAGGTTTGCTGAGATGGTGAGAACGTTGTCTTTATATGTGTTTGTACTTGGTGTAAATGTTACAGTAAATGTTTTGTGCAGAACATCATCTTTTTTGCTCCTGTGTTTGTAGGGATTGCCAGTTGCAATGTGATCACACCGCCTATTAGGAGATGCCAGTCAGTCCAGTAGTGCATCATGTCTGCTGGACTGACTGGTGCTGTAAGTATATTTTCCTGTCAATCTTCCATATTTGACTACTTTTAGTATTGAAGTATTCTTTTTGTAGATGAGAAAAACAAATACAGTCCATTTGATTTTACATGTCTGTCTTTTCTCCCTCTGTTTATCTGTATGTGTGTGTCTGGTCCCACTACACAGATGTGTACAGATGATCCGGACTGGCAACAGGAAACTTTCAGAACTGACACTGAGTGACAAGGTAACACAGTATAGCAATAGCAACGCCAGCACATGTTCAATACTCAAAATGTAAAGACATGCACCTATTTCCTTATCAAGTAACACTTCTTACTGTTTCTCAGACACAGTCTCAGTCTTTATGTCTAGGCTAAAAACCTACATGTTTAGTCAAACCTTTGATTATTTGGTGAATTTGCTTTGAGAGGTTTTGTTTGCCTCCTTTAACAAGCGCCTGTAACTCTGTCTCCCAGAGAGTGATGCTGTGTTTTCTGGAACGCATCTCTCCAAATTTGGAGGAGGCCACGTATGAAGATCCTGAGACTTTGTTTGCTGAGATGGTGAGAACATTGTCTTTATATGTGTTTGTACTTGGTGTAAAAGTTACAGCAAATGTTTTTGTGCAGAACATCATCTTTTTTGCTCCTGTGTTTGTAGGGATTGCCAGTTGCCACATGATCACTCCATGTATTAGTAGATGCCAGTCAGTCCAGTAGTGTATCATGTCTGCTGGACTGACTGGTGCTGTAAGTATATTTTCCTGTCAATCTTCCATATTTGACTACTTTCATTATTTAAGTATTCTTTGTGTAGATGAGAAAAACAAATACAGTCCATTTGATTTTACATGACTGTCTTTTCTCCCTCTGTTTATCTGTATGTGTGTGTCTGATGGAGTCCTACTACACAGATGTGTACAGGTGACTCTGACAGGCAACAGGAAACTTTCAGAACTGACACTGAGTGAAAAGGTAACACAGTATAGCAATAAGAACACCACAACATGTTCAATACTCAACATGTAAAGACATGCGTCTGTTTCCTTATCAAATAACACTCCTTACTGTTTCTCAGACACAGTCTTACTCTGTAAGTCTAGGCTGAAAACCTACTTGTTTAGCCAAACTTTTGATAATTTGGTGAATTTGCTTTGAGAAGTTTTGTTTGCCTCCTTTATCAAGCGTCTGTAACTCTGTCTCCCAGAGAGTGATGCTGTGCTTTATGGAAAGCATCTCTCCAAAATTGGAGGAGGCTGCGTTTGAAGATCCTGAGTCTAGGTTTGCTGAGATGGTGAGAACGTTGTCTTTATATGTGTTTGTACTTGGTGTAAATGTTACAGCAAATGTTTTTGTGCAGAACATCATCTTTTTTGCTCCTGTGTTTGTAGGGATTGCCAGTTGCAATGTGATCACACCGCCTATTAGGAGATGCCAGTCAGTCCAGTAGTGCATCATGTCTGCTGGACTGACTGGTGCTGTAAGTATATTTTCCTGTCAATCTTCCATATTTGACTACTTTCATTACTTAAGTATTCTTTGTGTAGATGAGAAAAACAAATACAGTCCATTTGATTTTACATGTCTGTCTTTTCTCCCTCTGTTTATCTGTATGTGTGTGTCTGGTCCCACTACACAGATGTGTACAAATGACTCTGACAGGCAACAGGAAACTTTCAGAACTGACACTGAGTGACAAGGTAACACAGTATAGCAATAGCAACGCCAGCACATGTTCAATACTCAGAATGTAAAGACATGCACCTATTTCCTTATCAAGTAACACTTCTTACTGTTTCTCAGACACAGTCTCAGTCTTTATGTCTAGGCTAAAAACCTACATGTTTAGTCAAACCTTTGATTATTTGGTGAATTTGCTTTGAGAGGTTTTGTTTGCCTCCTTTAACAAGCGCCTGTAACTCTGTCTCCCAGAGAGTGATGCTGTGTTTTCTGGAACGCATCTCTCCAAATTTGGAGGAGGCCACGTATGAAGATCCTGAGACTTTGTTTGCTGAGATGGTGAGAACATTGTCTTTATATGTGTTTGTACTTGGTGTAAAAGTTACAGCAAATGTTTTTGTGCAGAACATCATCTTTTTTGCTCCTGTGTTTGTAGGGATTGCCAGTTGCCACATGATCACTCCATGTATTAGTAGATGCCAGTCAGTCCAGTAGTGTATCATGTCTGCTGGACTGACTGGTGCTGTAAGTATATTTTCCTGTCAATCTTCCATATTTGACTACTTTCATTATTTAAGTATTCTTTGTGTAGATGAGAAAAACAAATACAGTCCATTTGATTTTACATGACTGTCTTTTCTCCCTCTGTTTATCTGTATGTGTGTGTCTGATGGAGTCCTACTACACAGATGTGTACAGGTGACTCTGACAGGCAACAGGAAACTTTCAGAACTGACACTGAGTGAAAAGGTAACACAGTATAGCAATAAGAACACCACAACATGTTCAATATTCAACATGTAAAGACATGCGTCTGTTTCCTTATCAAATAACACTGCTTACTGTTTCTCAGACACAGTCTCAGTCTGTAAGTCTAGGCTGAAAACCTACATGTTTAGTCAAACCTTTGATAATTTGGTGAATTTGCTTTGAGAGGTTTTGTTTGCCTCCTTTAACAAGCGTTTATAACTCTGTCTCCCAGAGAGTGATGCTGTGTTTTCTGGAAAGCATCTCTCCAAATTTGGAGGAGGCTACTTATGAAGATCCTGAGTCTAGGTTTGCTGAGATGGTGAGAACGTTGTCTTTATATGTGTTTGTACTTGGTGTAAATGTTACAGCAAATGTTTTTGTGCAGAACATCATCTTTTTTGCTCCTGTGTTTGTAGGGATTGCCAGTTGCAATGTGATCACACCGCCTATTAGGAGATGCCAGTCAGTCCAGTAGTGCATCGTGTCTGCTGGACTGACTGGTGGTGTAAGTATATTTTCCTGTCAATCTTCCATATTTGACTACTTTTAGTATTGAAGTATTCTTTGTGTAGATGAGAAAAACAAATACAGTCCATTTGATTTTACATGACTGTCTTTTCTCCCTCTGTTTATCTGTATGTGTGTGTCTGATGGAGTCCTACTACACAGATGTGTACAGGTGACTCTGACAGGCAACAGGAAACTTTCAGAACTGACACTGAGTGAAAAGGTAACACAGTATAGCAATAAGAACACCACAACATGTTCAATACTCAACATGTAAAGACATGCGTCTGTTTCCTTATCAAATAACACTCCTTACTGTTTCTCAGACACAGTCTTACTCTGTAAGTCTAGGCTGAAAACCTACTTGTTTAGCCAAACTTTTGATAATTTGGTGAATTTGCTTTGAGAAGTTTTGTTTGCCTCCTTTAACAAGCGTTTGTAACTCTGTCTCCCAGAGAGTGATGCTGTGTTTTCTGGAAAGCATCTCTCCAAATTTGGAGGAGGCTACTTATGAAGATCCTGAGTCTAGGTTTGCTGAGATGGTGAGAACGTTGTCTTTATATGTGTTTGTACTTGGTGTAAATGTTACAGCAAATGTTTTTGTGCAGAACATCATCTTTTTTGCTCCTGTGTTTGTAGGGATTGCCAGTTGCAATGTGATCACACCGCCTATTAGGAGATGCCAGTCAGTCCAGTAGTGCATCGTGTCTGCTGGACTGACTGGTGGTGTAAGTATATTTTCCTGTCAATCTTCCATATTTGACTACTTTTAGTATTGAAGTATTCTTTGTGTAGATGAGAAAAACAAATACAGTCCATTTGATTTTACATGACTGTCTTTTCTCCCTCTGTGTATCTGTATGTGTGTGTCTCATGGAGTCCCACTACACAGATGTGTACAGATGATCCGGACTGGCAACAGGAAACTTTCAGAACTGACACTGAGTGACAAGGTAACACAGTATAGCAATAGCAACGCCAGCACATGTTCAGTACTCAAAATGTAAAGACATGCACCTATTTCCTTATCAAGTAACACTTCTTACTGTTTCTCAGACACAGTCTCAGTCTTTATGTCTAGGCTAAAAACCTACATGTTTAGTCAAACCTTTGATTATTTGGTGAATTTCCTTTGAGAGGTTTTGTTTGCCTCCTTTGACAAGCGTCTGTAACTCTGTCTCCCAGAGAGCGATGCTGTGTTTTCTGGAACGCATCTCTCCAAATTTGGAGGAGGCTACTTATGAAGATCCTGAGACTTTGTTTGCTGAGATGGTGAGAACATTGTCTTTATATGTGTTTGTACTTGGTGTAAAAGTTACAGCAAATGTTTTTGTGCAGAACAGCATCTTTTTTGCTCCTGTGTTTGCAGGGATTGCTAGTTGCAATATGATCAAACCGTCTATTAGGAGATGCCAGTCAGTCCAGTAGTGTATCATGTCTGCTGGACTGACTGGTGCTGTAAGTATTTTCCTGTCAATCTTCCATGTGCGACTGCTTTTAGTATTAAAGTGTTCTTTGTGTAGATAAGAAAGACAAACACAGTCCCTTTGATTTTACATGTCTGTCTTTTCTCCCTTTGTGTATCTGTATGTGTGTGTCTGGTGGAGTCCCACTACAGAGATGTGTACAGATGACCCTAACAGCCAACAGGAATCTTTTTTTTTCCATCTCTGTCCACAACCACTCCCTACTCTCCCTACACTGTAAAAAATGTGTAGTCAGTTCAATCTGAACATGTACTTCCTGTGGTAACAAGCTATTTAACTAGTATTGTTCAAATAAATACTTTGACTGAAATAAACTGAGACAACATAACAGTAATAATTTAACTCATTCAACATCTCAAAATTTAATTATGATGTCTTATTTTAGCATGTTCAGTGTTAAGATAAGTTAGGATTTTTCACTGAGTCTGAGTTTCTGCAACACTGTATTATTAGCATCTACACTGAGTTGTTAGTTCGTTAAGTAGACCTACATTATACTTAAAATCTGTGGCCTTTTATACCGGTTCACCTACAATATAAGTGTGCTGGCAGGTATGGGACTGTAACACATGTGTTGCTATGCCAACCACTCTTTCTCTTGTCCATCAATGGAATGGGGCCGCCACAGGACCATTGCTGACCGGATTCTGTGGGGGTGGACCATTCTCAATGCAGCAGTGATACCAACACTTTAGCAGTGTATTCTGAGTGTTGGACTGCTCTGAGTGTATCAGGCACCATGGTGGTCGTGCGGTCAGAAACGAAGATAAATTATTCATAGAAGAAGATAAGCTCTTAACTGTACACCTTCAAGATGCACAAAAAAGCTAAATGTATGTAATAAATAATTATTGATCCTGATAAATGCTTGTTGGAATTTTTCTTCTATTTAAGCCTTTAGAAAACCGTAAAGCATCTTGATTGAGTACATTGAGGAAGTTTGATAATCACACAGTTTAAAAATCAGTGATGTTTTGACTAGCTTTATGAGATGTATCTTGAAGGGATGCTATCTAGGAACTATGTTATAACACAGTTGAACAATATTGAAAAATTCCTTTAACTAACAGGCCTAACACCCATATTTTTACTGTCATAATAATGCAATCAGATATTAATTAACTGCTCATACTTTATTTCAAGATCTGCTTCTTAATGCTTACTTAACTATTAGCAAGCACTTAATAGAGGCTTAAAAGACTTCGTTAAATGGGCAATTTTATTCATAAGCAGGTGTAGAAATGTGGAATAAATATATTTATGTTCATTAAGGTTTTTATGTAAATGAGTAATTAACTGTTTGTTGACCAATGAGTAAATTGAGCATTTTTCTATTAAGTTAATTTTAATCTTTCAGTTGCAAACAGACTTGAAATATCTTTTTGTTACATATTAATCAAGGAATATGAACAAGCAATAATTATTTGGATTCCCAAAGACCAGACATGGTAGTAAATGCCAGTAAATGGTCACGTTTCATTTGCAAGCATAGAAGAGAAATGACTTAAAACAAGCCATATGGTCTGTATGATGATTAAAGGAGGAGCTTACATATCTTTACAAATTCACTAAAAATAGTGTGTAAATGACAAAATACATTGATTAATGAATTTGCAAGAACAAAACTAAAGTGGAATGTATTCACTCCTAATAATTGACTAAATAAGTGCGAACAAGTAACATTTCCATGTAATAAAGTGTTAGGAATAGACATGAACTCTGCAAAGTACAATGAAATATTAAAATATAAGGAGGTGTTGTAAGTTGTATTGTAAGTTCCTGTAAAATTACTGCTTTCAGGTGTCTGCAACTAATTAAATGTGACCTTTACTTGCATTTTCTGCCTTTTTTGTTCACATTGAATTCAAATTCCTGTTTATTCTTCTTCATAAAGTATGCTTACATCTGAAGGATTACAGTTAATTAACATTTAACGCATTATTCAATAAGTAGCTATTAACTAGTTTTAGTTAATCGTTATTAATGCATCATATAAATGCATTTCTATCACATTTCTAAACTTGCTTACAAATAATATGTTTCTGCTTACTAGGTCATTATTAACCCCCCCCCTAATAATTAAGAAACTTTTAAGTATACCTTAAAATAGTGTGTTACCCATTCAATTTTGGCCATTGGTCTGATTTTCTACTCATCCTTATTTTGCTACATAGGGTCACCAGACATCG